GCCTCTATGGGGCTAGCCATCCCCACGCTTGAAGTATTCCCTCCCCACCCCAGGCCAAGTGGCAGAGCCAGCCATATGAGATACAAATCCTAATAAAACTGAATTAATCCAAATGTATTAGATTACTATGACATATTGTGCACAAAAAAGAAAAATGGCAATTTTCTCTCTCGTGCTCCAGGAAATACTTACTTTTTCTCAGAGCAAATTCTTCTTCTGATGGTTTCCGTTCAGGTTTTCGCTTGGGCAACAGCTTTTTCATGGTTTTAGGGCTTTTGCTGAGATCCTGCTTGGATTTTTTAAAAAGTATATACTGTACATAACAGATATTCACACTTAAAAGTTCAAAACATTAAGATATGTCAATGAAACAGTGATTCATTATTATAAATTCTGCTTAACTGTTTCCCCCTTTATTATAATTTTCACATTATGTCCTAGAAATTCATTACAACATTTTAAAAAAATAATTGGTTATATTTATATTTGTGTTCAATGATTAACAAAAACAGACACAAATATAAGGGAAATCTTCAAATGGAAGCTAAAAATATCTATTTGTCAAAGCAGAAGTTCATTTATTTACAGTCTAAGACCAGCCAAATAAAAAACATCAAATACCACAAATAAGTTACAGAAGCCATAAACAATAAAAAATTATGGAAGAAGCCTAAAACAGTTTGGGGATGAGGACACCAAATGACCTCTCTAGGCTATAACTACTGAAAGACATTCTGCAACTTTCTTGGGGATACATGGAAATTGGTTACATAAAGTGAATGGTAACCAAAGGTGATCATAAGAACAATTAAATTTTCTGACAATTAGTATTATGAGCTCCGTTTGCCTTTGAGTGTACAATGGGCATTTTAACAACATATGTGATACGGATTCCACCTCTGCATCAGAACATGTGCAAGGACACTTTTCATAAGGGAGGCTGGTACAGATGGGGCAAAAAGTATTGGTAACCCTCCAGTTTTCCCCAAACGATCCCAGTTTGCTATGAAATAAGTTGAAACTGACACAAGTAAATGGCATCCACCCTTCTTTATTCCACAGTCCATAGAGCAGACATTTTCTTTTTGATGTATGACTCAACATATTCTTGTAAGTAATACATGAAAATGGCATGGACGTACTTATTGGTACCACTTAGAAGTTAAAAGACATTATTGGATTTTAGTGATCTCTCAAGCACACTATTTACTTTAATTAGTATCACAGGTTTCTTCAATCTCATAATCAGTCACTTTGTCTATTTGAATGGAGAAAAGTACTCACTCAGGCATTTTGTGTCATTGTGTGCAGCACAGTGAACATGGACAAGAGAAAGAAAAGCAGAGAGTTGTCTGAGGAGAAAAGGAAGAAGGTAATAGCCAAGCATGGTAAAGGCAAAGGCTACAAAACCATCTCCAAAGAGCTTCATGTTCCTATGACCACCATTGCTAATATTATCAAGATGTTTAAGTACCGTGAGACCGTAGTCAACCTCCCTGGATGTGGCCAGCAGAGGAAAACTGACCCCAGATTAAACAGAAGGACAGTCTGAATGGTGGAGAAAGAACCAAAGAAAATTTCAAAACAGATCTTGGCTGACCTCCAAGATCAAGGTACTACAATATCAAGCTGTCACCATCACTGTCGGACTGAAAGTGGCCTCCATAGTAAAAAGTCCAGGCAGACCCGATTTCTGAAAGACAGGCACAAAAAAGCCAGACTGGAGTTTGCTAAAATACATGTTCACAGATCACAGTCCTTCTGGGAGAATGTCCTTTGGACAAATGAAACAAAATCAGAGATTTTTGGTAAGTCACAGCTGCTCTATGTCCACAGAAGAAAAAAATTATACTTTTAAAGTAAAGAACACCATCCCTACTGTGAAACATGGAGGAGGCTCCATAATGTTATGGGGTTGCTTTGCTGCCTCCAGTACTGGGTGCCTTGAACCTCTGCAGGGCACAATGAAATCAGAAGATTATCAAGGCATTCTGGAATGAAACGTAATGCCCAGGGTTAGAAATCTCTGTCTCAGTCACAAGTCATGGGTCCTCCAACAGGATAATGACCCAAAACATACAGTACATCTAAGAGAACCCAAGAATAGTTGAAAAGTAAATATTGGACTATTCTGAAGTAGCCTGCTATGAGTCCTGACCTGAATCCAATAGAACATCTATGGAAAGAGCTGAAACTCACAGTTGGGAGAAAGAAACCATCAAGCCTAACGCAACTGGAGCAGTTTGCTCAAGAAGAGTGGGACAAATTGCCAGTTGAGAAGTATAGAAGTCTTATTCAGAGCTATAGAAAGTGCTTGATTGCAGTTATTGCCTCAAAAGGGTATGCTATGAAATATTAGGTTAGTGGAGGGGTACCAATACTTTTGGCCACATCTGTATATTTGCTCATTGTTACCTAATGGGTGGCATGTCAGTTAGAGCCAGGGAGTAAAGTTTTCTTTGTGGGTCATCTAATATGTTGAAAAAGTATCTAGTGATAGTCCAGGAAAAGGGGGAAATTGCACTGTAACAGGCATGGGAAACTCTGGCTCTATCAGTTTGAATGTCTTGGTCCCAAAGCCTCCGTTTAAATTCAGCCAAAGCTTTATCAAGTATGAGGAGAGATAATGCCAAAATAGAAAAGCCACACCATGCCAGACCATGATTAGTTTATCTCCTCAGGGAGGAGACAAACCAACTTAGTAAGGTAAAATGGACCAAGAAAGTCAAAGAGTTTGCTTCGACCACAATCCAAGATGATAGCCTCAGATAAGCTCCAAAGAAAATGCAGCCCAATTTTAACCATATGACAGCATTAGGGGACCCATTTGACAGCCTCTTAAGAATTTTGATTGGATGAAGCTTGAGGTATCCTTGTGGATGTGAAACTGAATATGATATAGCATCAAACTCAGAACTTTAGTTTTAAATAATTTAACTGCTGCTGGGACACAGTTGTTACCATATAGGTTTCAGTATTAAATGTATATTTCTTATTAAAAAAACCACACACACACACAGAACACCAATGACTCTCCATTAATCACACTATTCTTAGGAGCATGACATTCAAGATTAAGATTCTCCTGTCAAAGTCATACCCATTCCTTCATAATTATAGCTTAGTGTTGGATGAAGGCTAGTTCAAAAGCTTTGTAAAAGTGGAAAGTATGTACATGGACAAAATCAAGAACTATCAAGTTTTTTGATGGGATTCTTCATTCTCACCTCTTTATAACAGAGTGCTGCTGAAGGCCTTAATGGAGGTGCAGGTCGTAAACAGCTCAAACTCCATGGCTTGGGAGTTTTAGGTGGCTCCAGTGGTCCCCAGTTTATAGTAGTATGAGGTGTCCCATGATGTGAAGGGTGTGGAAGTGTGTGATAGACAGGAGTCATCGGCATTTGCTTGCTATCTGCATGCTTGCTAGATGGTGTTACAGGATGAGATGGAAGCTGCCAGGTGAACAATGGTGACAGAAAGGACCAGAAAAAGAATACTACAATGAATATCATCTGATTGTGGATTTTGGCATTGTTCTCATGAACAGTTGGCTTACTCTACCTTATTTATGCTGAACACTGACATGACAAATATGCAGCAGAAACATGCAATGCTATATGTACTGGAATTTATGTTTCCTTCAACTCTGTTGCATAAAAATACTGACAATGAATTGACTTAGAAATACAAATACATTTGTGACTAAAGGAAAAATCTATCCATTTTTAAAATTAATTCCATAGCTACTAGTATATTGACCAATTTATACATTACTGGAACCTTCTAGATCAAGCAAACGATAACAGCTCTTTTCCATGTGAGTATTACTAGCCCCAAAAAAGGATAAAGCTAATAAGAGAAATAACCATGTATTTTTCCTGGGCCTGGATGACTCGTCAGCAGACATCAACAGAGCAGCAAGAGACTGGGTTTTATTTGACACAATCCTTTCTTACACAAACAAATCACAATCAGAGATGATTTCAGCAACTATTTCTTGAATTTAATATTCTATAGCTTGGTGCTAAATGCTCGGTAATTCTATCACTGCAATTTATCAGGATATACCAAGCAATGGTTCCAGTTATAATACAAGTCTTTTCTTCAATAGCACCTGCACAATGTGTTGGGCTTCTTTAACTTATAAGCAGTGGACTAAAGGCAGGTGGCCTCTTACCGTATGAGATGGGACAGAATGTGGTTTAATTGCAGGAGTCCCAACAGTTGTTACTTTTGTTTGCTTCTGCAGATGATCCACCCACTCATGCAAATCTTGTTGATTATTACAAGATACCAATATCCGCTCTATCATATTTCCTAGAACCAAACAGAAAATGCTGAATGAAAATGTAAAAGAAATAACCTTTTTAAGAGTATACAATGCTGAATTGTTGTGTCAGCTATAGCTTGCACACGCTGTCTCCACACACATGCAAGTACCCATAATCCTTAATTCTTCTTTGATACCTATGCAATACGTTAGGTATCTTCTCCACATTATAGCACAACAATTTGTGATAATCCTACTACCACAGTGTGCTCATATGAAAATTCATGTTCCTGCTTCCAAGAACTGTGAATATGTGTAATCTCTGGCTTTAAGATTTGTCAGAAGGTTGCGAGTGCAGATCTAAGGCCCAGAATATATAACCTTGCAGAGAGGTTGCCTGACAACTACTTGTCCTTTAAGATGATAGCCATTTCACACACTCACCAGTAAACCTTAGAAAACTAGTAGTCGCTCAGTTTGGTAAACTCACTGGTTGCCAGTACACTTCCAAATACAGGTCAAAGTGCTGTTTTTTCCTTCTCAAGTCTTAAAAAGCTCAGATGGTAACCACTTCCATAATGCAAGATTACCTGAGGAAGACGTGCTCCAAGTGCTACCTCTATTAGGCCATTAATGATTTTGGAGAAGAATATTTGCTACGGAGCCCTAATTTCTTAGGTGTTTTTATAATGTATCTCTCTCTAAGCCTACTAATTAAGTGTGGTTTATTCTGGCTGTTGATAACAATATAATTTTTACTGATTTTAGATTAGTTTACACTTTTTTCTAGGATACTTTTTAGTTTTAATGAAGCCTATCTTGAATTCATACATACATTTAAACTAAATAAATTTAAAGTGGCATGATGTCAAACTAGAGAGACTGCTTATACTATCTTGCTGCTAATTTAGCAGACCTCCTAACAGGCTTAGAACAGCCTTTCTGCCTGCAAAAAGTATTGAGTCACAACACCCATCCACACCAGCCTGTCAGACCAATGGACACGCTAGCTGGAGATGATGGAGTTGTAGTTCTGTGCATCTGGAGGGAACCAAGATGGGGAACACTAGTTTGGAAGATGAACAGATCCTGATTCTGGTAATATTGTTTGCTGCATATTCACAGAAAAAGCCCAGAATGAACAAGAACATTACCTGATATTTCAAATGCATTTCTGTGATTTTCACTATCTTCTAGCTTTGTGATGGTCATCCCTGTCAACGGGAGCTTTCCCTAAAAGCAGATACACCAAGTCACTATATCAACTGATTCAATAAATATTACTGAATAACAAAACATACAGAGGAAATTTTATCAACATTTAAATTAAGACATACACATCCTGACACTGAAGAAAGGTCCCTGTTGACATTGTATTTGTATATTCATACTTCTAAAAAGCACTTACTTGCATAAATGCCATAGTATTTCAGTGTAATATTTGCAGGATCTTAGTCAAATGATACAAATGGTTCCAAGGCTGGAAATAATAGTTTGGGTCTACACATAATCATACTTGATGTATATCCACTGAGGTAAATCCCATGTCACAAGAGCAGACTTCTCATGCAGTGTAGGTGTCCTTTCCTCTTCTCTGCCCCACTCACCCACCCTCATGAACTGTCCCACATATGGATGAAATCTGTTCTAAAAAAATCCGACAGATCTAAAGAGTGCATGGAGAGGAGAAAACTAGTGGTGTCCTTACTCCTGATGAATGAACACAACTGATGACAGCCTACTGAAACCACCATCACCACTATCTTATCTATTTTAAGCATGACTGTGCCTGGAGTTCAATTTAATTCAAATATGTCACAGAGACTAAAATTGTATTGAAGCTTCTATTACCTGGTAGATAAACCCACTCATCCTAGGGCTGGCAGACAACATCAGCAAAATGTTAGGGAAGAGAAGAAGGTATCTTTCATTTTTTTCCTTATTAGAGAGAAGAAAACCATTAACATATAAAGGTCAGATTAAATGGCATGGTTAAACAAAAATGCAGATAAACAAATGTGATGGCAATCACAATATTTCTCAAATCTTTATTATTAAATTAAAACCACGTTAGACATCTTTAGAACAAGAAAAAAGGCCAAGAGATTTTTAGGACAAAGTCCTTACAGAGAATGCAAACTTATTTGAAAGAAAAGGCAAAACTCTTGTCACAGACAGAGAACCCCTGTTTTTTTTTTTAAGTGACTTCTATCATAGTTATGATAAAATGTTTATTTCAAAAATACTTCATTCCTCTACTAAATGTGCCTTTCAGAGTATTTTTTTAATTGACTAGATAAGACCAAAACAGAGACATTTTTAAAAATATACACTCAAAACAGGCTACAAATAACTATTTTGAAGGGGCAAATGCATTGTGTTGGCCCTTATCTCTAGACTGAATGACTGAATGAATCACTTTCTAAGGCCGTCCACTTGCCAAATAACTCTGAGTGGCTCAGAAGGGTTAAAAACAGTAAAAACCATTCTGGTAGTAGTGTAAGCAAAACCTGCCATACCTCACTGCCAGCACACTGAATCATGACTTGTGACATGTAAATTACATTTCCTAGTGTTTTAATGTCTTCTCCTTCCCAGCACCGGATGGCTTCAGTTAATATCTGGAGTTCAAGTTCTTTTCTTTTCCGTACTTCTTGGCACTGTGCCTACAGGGCCAGAATAAAAATATCATCATGTATCATACAACTGGACTAGCCATGAATAAATAGTTTTTTAGTACTGTCTCTAGACTTCTTCCCAGTCCCTGAATTAAAGATGGGAATGGAAATGGGAGGCCTCTGGGAGATCAACTCTTTCTATTCCCATTCTTACAGAGTTCCAGCCCCTGCCAAACATATTTTGATCAAACAGATTAATCAGGAAAGTTTGAATTTATGAGTTTGTAAGGGCAAGTAATATCCTCTCTTGCAATGCAAACTCGTGTTGTACAATGGAAGAGGGAGAATGAAGGCATACAACTTCCCTGCCTCTGATGAAGATTGTTAATATGAGTTCTACCTGTAGGATTTCATTTTTTATCAAGAATTATCATATAAGTCACAGTTATAGTGTGCTCATTGTGCCCAAATCAAAATTATTAATGGAAGTATCCATGTTTTATTCTTCCATGGGTATAATTTGTTAACTTTACTCTTGCTACTACTCCAAAGAAAATGGTCTTGAACTTCTCTATATTTTGGGTTATTCTACAAGTTACTTACAGAAAGGTTTTTGAAAGCTGTCATGGATTTCTGAATGTCTGGTCGGTCTGGATGATAATCCTAAAAGAAAATTCAAAGGGAAATTGCTTTTCAACTTGTTTTGGAATTAAAGACCCTTCTGTTAATACTGGATTAAACAGTTAAGAAACTTTCCTCTTAACTACTTTGACTTAAGCAACTAATCTCTAAATAAGATCATGCCAGCAAGAAACAAATAATTTTGGAAGAAAATCTTTTCTTGACAGGAACAAACTTTATGAATATTTATCTTTTCCCATATAATTTAGACTGTCTTCTTAGTACAGAAATTAAGATCTGACAGTTTTCCAAGAGATAATAATGTAAATCAATATGAAGCAATATGATTAATGGCACTTAATGTGCTAGAATTTTCAAATTTAAGATTTAAGTTTAAAACTAAGATTACACACACACACACTCCAAAAATATTAAACGAAAGATCTTAATGCTATGTTTAATACTGAGGACTTGGCCTTCAAGCAATAGTAACTGAATATCTAGCAGATAAACCCTCTGAAAGTGTATAATCAAATTGCAATGGTACACTGCAGAATAAACTAAATGAACTTTAGCATCCTGATTGATGGGAATATATGAAAAATATATGCTTCACAATCCCCTCTTGAGCATTCAAACATCAGTTACTGCAAGTTCAGCCATCTCTTTCTAATCTTGCAAAAGTATCAAAGAAAGCCACAAAATTTAGGAAAGGGAGTAAATTAAGAAACAGCATCAACACCATATTCCCAGTGTGCATTTACAGAGCATATTTCTACAGTGCAGTTTCATATTTCTGAAAGGCACAAACTGTGCAATAGCTATGCCATATGAAAGGTCTGAAGGACGTGCCCAAGAGACTGAGCCAAGCACATTAGCAGATGCAAAACATGTATAACTGTGGCATTACGCTAGTGTGATAGAGATTCCACAAGCCAACTGACAAAGTGAGCTGTCAGTTTAGGATCAGGGTTTATTATTTTAATTCTTTGAAAATACAGTCAATCTTAAATGTATAATCTAGCATTCCAAACAATTACTTCTGTAAGAACAAAGTACTGTACTTTGTCACTCATCTTCTTTGACATGCTCTTTTAAGATGTTTGTCTAATCATCATTAAAGTAGAATATAAATGCTGCAAGGATATACCTCCATGTGTCTTTCAAGCTCTTTGAGTAACGTGGGATATTTATCTAGACGCATAAAAGGTTTGCTCAGGCCTGTGGTCAGTACAAGAATCCCAGGGCTGTTGGCTCCTTTTATCTCCATGAATTCTCCTAACTCTTCACTGTACATACAAAAGGAAAAAATAAATAAATAAAAAACTGAAGTTTAAATAGAGAATTGTGGTCAGCCATATCTATAAGAAATTTTAAAAACATTCTAAGTACTTAGGAATTGTAGTTTATTTTCTGAGAACAGACAATACTTATTCACAAATGAAGTATATACGAGACAAAACCTGTTTTAATCAAATGAGGAAAGGGTAGGCAGGTTGAATTATCTTTAAACTTTGTTTTGTTTCTGCCTGAACACCAATTAAAAAATATTAATTTGGAGATTAAAGTAAGGATTACAGTATTACAAATAGTCAACTATTTTAGTTAGAGTCATTTAAGCAACATATTATTAATATTACCAAGCAAATCTGCATGTGATTAAAGCTTGGGGGAGAATTTTAAGAGTCTGACTATGAAAACCTCAAAAACAACAATAATAATGGCATAAGATGATAACCTTGAAAATGGTTTCCTTCCTGCAGATATTCTTAAGATCTAATTACCTTAGTCTTATTTAAGTCTATTACTTTATAATTTAAAAGTAATGCTACATACTATTTATTTTATTGTTTATCCCTGTAGTTGCATACAACTATCTCATCTATATTTTAATAAAGAGTATATACATGCAAACTGAGCACAAAGCTAATTTAATAACATTTCTGAATGTTTGAAAGAGGCAGTATAAAAATATAAAGATATATTTCTTAGTACCACTAGAATAGCTCCATTTGTACACTCACAAATATCTCACAACAATTTTATCTACCCTACCTCACAATATGAATACCTACATGCATTTTTACTGATCCTCCCAACTACAAATTTTTCAGCATTTATGCCCAATATCTGGAAAGAAGTATCCTCTATATATACATCGGCACAATATTACAGCAAGCTATGGCTTGCTTCAAATGACAATTCAACAGAGCCAGAGCACTTGTCTTTTCCTACGAATGTTAGAAAACATGAAAACATACAGTCAGACTATTTTCCTCCCAAATCAATAGCTATGACTCAGCCTTCATTCATTTAGAGCAAAACCAGGCCACCCACAACACAAGTGCTTTAAATCTCTTTTGGGCAACCTGGAGCATACCACAGCTATCTACGGGAATGGGGGGGGTCAAGAGCTGGAAAATCCTGAATCCTGCCCGCCTTGCATCACTCTTCCATCCACCACCTATTTTAACACCCCAGGACCAATCACCCTTGTGAAAACAATAGTGCAAAGACATCTATATTTTTTTCTCACTTTTTCTCATAAGCCCTGAAGATTTTCCAACATTCCAGAATGAGAAATGACCAAGCCTTAAGACACAGCCTTGATACTGTCACTAATCACTCATTTTGTTATAAAAGACAACCTACGAGAAGTATCCAGTAGCAGAGGGGGGTTTTTTGCTTTATAAGAGGGACAAATGGAATTTTAATGTCTTCCTCACTGGATTATGTTTTGATTTCCTGCAGAGCTTCACTGATCTTCCTTAATATAACTTTAGAAGACAACTTTAAAAAGTTGCTACAAAAAAAAAATATTACTGATTTCAATAATGAAATCAAATATAAAAATGTCTCCAAGACATAAAGCAATCTAAACCATTAACAAAAGGTCATTAATATAAACCTTCTGTTAAAAATATATTCTACTATTTTAACAGAAAGCTTGTATCATACACAGGACTGTGATTTTATATTTACATAAGACATTAAATATTTAAAGCACCATTTTGATTTATGTACTATTCACTTGCTACTTTGATTTGCTCTTCTTGTGAAAGAACTTTGCTTCAAGATTAAATATGAATCTTAGAAACTATAGTCATATTTAATCACACTAGAAAATCTGTTTCCGTAGAGGATCATTCTGTTCACAAAATGTGTAGTTCAAAATCATAATTATTTCAACAAAGAATGGATCTTTATAAGAAGTGGGAAGTGTTACACAGCAAATTCCCAATGTATTTAACAGGGAATACAGAAAGCAGAAAAATAAGATATACAAAAACAGTCCTTTAGTTAATTAACAAACAGATCCTTGGAATATAAAAAATAAATTACTATGTATTATTTACTCAAAACAGGTTGGCTATATAGAATAAATAAGCAACTTATGACTATTGTGATACTAATATAGAGTTATTGACCCAGTGGTAGGTCTGCTATCTAGATAGCCCTAATAATTTTCCACTGTTAAGGTCTATGGTGGAGTCTGCATTCTTAGAACCACTTACTAAGGAGTAAAACCCTCTAAAACCACTGGGACTTACTTCTGAATGCATGAACTGTAATTTTAGAAAGGGTTATCTAGAGAAAGCAAATTAAGCAAATTAGATTCCAAATTAAATCTAAGCAATTGTCATTTTTAAGGCATAAAATCACTACAAGCTAGGAAGAATGTCTTAAACCTCCAAGTACTTTCATGAGAAATCAGTCAGTAAACAATAGAACAAGAATTCACGTAAAATTATAAACAAGTGCAAAACATTGAAAGTTGTAACTTACACTTCCAGTTCCTGCCTATAATAGATAGAACATGAACTCTCAGTACTGAGAGGTCTAAAGATGTCACACAGACAATGCATGCTCAAGACCCTCTAGCAAATCCTTGACTCACTAAATGACTCTGAGCTCTCCGCTGCGGTTCCACACAGAGCGGCTTATTCTGAGGCTGTTGCTTCAAGTATGACATCACCCTCTATGTTAGCAGCCCTTGGGAAACCAAATGAGGGAGGGACAAAAGACTGTCTGACTCAGATGCTTATCGGGATCCCACACGCCAATTAATCTCTCATAAGTGTGATCTTCTAAGCTTCCCATTTTGAAATCTGATATTAAAAGCAATGAGATGAATGCAATAGTCATGTCTGATTAAGCTCCAGCTGTATTACCTATGTTTATGCAACTATACTTTAAAAAAACCGGTGGCATCTCTTTACAGATAGGATTGCTACCTTGAAGCAATATATTTGAATTATTGTACATTTTACATCTTATTCTCAGTTATATTACTTTTTGATTATGTGCCTCAAATCATTTTTGACTCCTAGCAACCATAATTACAATTAAAGTGATGCCATTTTTATTTGAATACTTGTTTTGGTATCCAAGTTTCCCCAGGCAACTTATAATACATTAAAATCACAGCATAACATTTTTGAAAATACACAATAATACATATGCAAAGTATATCTTTTCTTCAGAATGTGTTCTATTTACAGTACTTTCATAGGCAACCAATTAATCTCAGACAGTTAAATTGGCTGGCTGACTTGATGACAGCCCATAATAAAGAACAGAATCCCTGAAGCGAAAAATAGTACAGGTGGCATGTCAGGATGGTTGCATGGAAGTGCTTTTATTAGGAAAATCTGGACAGAAATCCTTCCCAGCCAAACCTATTTGTCCTGTGTTGTGCTTTGTCAATTATTAAAATTTTAGGTGCCAGAAAAGGCAACAGAGTCCATTTGATCCAGGGAACCAAGGCAAAATTCTAAGCTGAGCATGAAATACACCTGCTGTAATGGCAGTTAAAGCAAGTCCAGCTACTTTCTACTAACTATTACAATCAAAGCACAGTCACATTTAAAAAATTCTACAATAGGCTAAATTGGTGTTACTATTACAACAGACAAGCTTTGCACCTTGAATCTTAGGAATACTGAAGAAGGTCCAGAGATACTGAAATCACTATGTATTTTTAGAACAAAGAAAATAATTTATTTAAGATTGACGAATATTGTGCTCAAGTGGCATCAGATCTTGTAAATACCCAGTGGAAGGTGAAACAGAAAAGGGTGTTTTAAAGAATCACACACTTTCAACAACAATGATAATACTGCTACCGTGAACATCGCTAGCCAGGAATCTTTAGAAAAAGTAATTCTTTCCACAAACTTCAAAACAACCTTGATATATACAACAGCATTTTTTCCAACAATCAACTGTTCAAGTGCAAAAGATTATATTTTAAATTCTGTAGGGAAATATGTTATCAAATATAAAATTTTAGCCCTGCTTCTGGTAATAGCATACTGCTGAGCACTCTCTGCATACAGTGACTTGAAAAGGCTTTTTAAAAGTATGTAACAGCCTGAAGAATAAAAATAGCTACGCTGGATCAGACCAAAGGTCCCACAGCTTCTGACAGTGGCCAACCAGATTCTTCCAGAAGGCCTACAAAAAGTCTTGAAGGCAATAATCCTTCTCCTGCTATTCCCTCCCAAATAATTGGTATTCTGTGGCATTCAGCCTCTGAATTGCATCTCGCAAAATACAGTATTTTTCTCAAGGCAACATACAAAATATAACATTAAAAAATTAAAGTAATAATAATAAATGCAATGACAACCCCAAACTCAAATACAATTTTATTTCAACCAGCCATTCTACTGTAAGATCTAAAAACAGATCTTCTATCATGTATTTATTAGATCTCTACCACCTATAAAAGCCATCAAAATGCTGCTTTAAATATTAAAAAAAACAACAGAAAACCATAAAAACCAAAAGAAACATTAAGTGATTTAAAAGGCCAAAAAATGGAGAGAACGTGAGGTTAAACAGCTCCAAAGGAACAAAATTCCATTGTTGGTAACACTGGAGAAGACCTTTTCCCACCTGGTTGACAAAATGGGCCTCTATAAATGCCTGTTATCTCCAAAAGGAACTCTCCCTTGCAGATCATAATAACTAGAACGGTTCATAAATTACCCTAAAACAAAATTGCTACCCTTTGCTTTTAAAAGAGTCTGGATTTTTTTTTTTAAATACTTTTAGTGCCTGGTTTAAAAAATAGGGAAGATACCACTGCCTCTTGTACCCACTTGCCCACTTATCACTTATGATGGGCCCATAAGCAAAGCTTATTTTTAAATTACATTAAAGCTGTCCAAATCCTTTGAAAAAAGTACTTTACAATCCACAGGAGCATGTATAAAGCAGCTCTTTCCAAATCATTAAACCAACCTTGTTTGTGCAGATGCACATATGGAGAGAGAGCAGAGAAGAACCTTTGAAGCAATCACATGAGCCTAGAGAAAGATGCAGCTGGTTTAATGATTCCAAGAGAGGCACTTTGCATGCACTCTGCCTTATGAAGCATGTCTTTCAAACGATCTGCAAGACCAAATTTACATAGGTACAAAGAATACTCTAAGTAACTTGGTATTCAAGATTTTAAAGTTTAATACCAGCACTATTCACTTAGATTCCATATATGGGAATACTGGACAAGAGAGGACTTTGATGAGATCCAGCAGGACACTTTAGTTAGAAATTAGCAACACTTTTATTGAGGAGAAGAATATCAAGCTACATATTTTAAAGAAACTATGTTTATTTTCAACTCCAACACAAAAGCATTGCTATTTCAATGTTATGCATGAATTAAACTTTTCAAATGGTATTTTCACCACAAACAAAAGAAAATACCAGGGCAATAGTCTTATATTTGTTGCCAACACTATTTTTGAAACAGAGGAAAAAGAAGCAAAACATAAATTCATAAACTCTTCCTTATTTGTATCATTTCTAGGTACACATACCTGTGTTCTGTAAGAACAGTTACTGCTGATGGGTGATTGGCACAATATGTAAGGTATAAGTTTTTCATTTGTGGCATGAGATTCAGAAAGCAACTGCCAACCCTCTGCTGGGCTTCAGGCAACCTGAAATAAAGCAGCATCAATGTAACTTCTCAAATTTTCTAAGACCCAATGCCTTCAAATTTATCAGGACGCAGATGACACAGTCTCAAAGGTCATGCGAAGGTTCTTCATGTTTAAGTGGAAAGATAGTGAGGGAGACAAAGTAGCAGGAAATAGTTCTATAAATTATTATTTAATATGTCTGCATATCACTTTACAAAATATTGTTTTCAATCAACAATTAAAATACAGTAAATAATAATTTGCACTAATTATTATTTAGAGTATATAAATTATTAATACAAAAATGACAATCAATTTAAAAAGTATGAAAAAGAGGGAAAGAAAATAAAGCCATTCTTAAAGTGGAGCCCTGGGTGAAGGAGCTAGGTCTTCATTAGGTTCCAAAAAGAAGTAATCATGGGTGGTTCACGTATTTCAAGGAAGAGAGCATTCCAGGGTGAAGGAACCACCACTAGGAAGGCCCCCCATGAGGACTCTACAGTTCTTGCCATATCCTTGAAGTCCTCACCAGGTCCATCTTAGTGATTAATCTCATCTACAATGCCAAAAGTATTCCAATCCCAAATTCTTTAAGGGCATATAAATAAAAAACAAGACTTTGGCTCATTAGCTAACTGGCCACCAGTACACCTGCATTAATAATTGTGTAACTGGTATACAGCCACATATCCAGCTCTGAAATGGCACACCTGAAATGCTGATTTTTCTGTATACTGTTGCAAAAAAAGAAAAAGGGGAGGGTTTCAGTATAGACTGTTTAAGTTTGCAGAAACAGTCATGCTTAATATCAGCCCTAAATGTTTGTTTATATTATTTACTTGGGATACATGTGATGCTACCAGTATGCTAGAGAACTATAACTTTTATATATATATTTATTCTTGCAACAATTAAAATGATGGTACTTTCAAAATGAACGTTATATTTTAAAATTTCAGATGAAGAATCAATGTTATAGCAAATAAAATTTCTTTTAATACTAAAAAATTAAGAGTTAACAGAAAGGTGTCTCAAAAACAGGTCTGGAGGATTCATTTTTAAGCTTATATTATGAAGCAGCACATTTGGGACATAACATTGCATTTATATGAGAAGAGCTGCAGTGGAAAACAGTACATAGTTGGTATACAACTTCTGTAAGAATAGCACAAATATCTCACAACTACCCAACAAAATGGATTGTCAACAGAAGGGAACATTTTTCCCTATGTGGTGGGCATATGTGAAAAAAATGTGCCCTTGAAGATCATCCGGAAGCTACAATTGGTCCAGAATGCAGTGGCATAGGTAGTTACGGCTGTTTCTTGCCATGCCTAGGTACCGTCACTCTCCACAAACTGCACAGCCCTACGTGACATAGAACCAGGTTATTTGCAGGACCTTTTTCCCAATTACATCTGTGTGCCCCTCACACTCCAACGGGTAGGGCATACTCCTGGACCCATCTTTGAAACAATATCATCTTATGGGACCCAGAGGCATGCCTTCTCTATGGTGGTGCCTGCCCTCTAGAACAGTCGCCTCCCCAACTCAATTTATGGCTGGCTCCAACCCTGCAGGCCTTTAGAAAGGCAGTGAAGACGTGGCTCTTTCCTCCACATTTGGATCAACACGAGCGAAGTTCTCATCTGGCGACATTTAATAAATTTCGATCCCCAATCACCTATTAATAGTTCTATATGTTTTTAACTAGTACTGGTATTTTGTTTTTGGCATTTTTGTTAATGGTTTTTTATATGCTTCCCAGTCACACTGTCCAAGTTGGGTGGAAATGCCATCAATCAATCAATCAATCAATCAATCAATCAATCAATCTTCGACAGTGGAAGTTCCTGAATAATTTAACAATTGAAAATAGCATACTAAGGTATGGTCAATTGCTCTTTTTGAAAAAGGAACCAACTGAATGTTTACCAAATCTGAAAATATTATATTATTACATTTATAGCTCTAATTTTAATGAATCTTGTGATCTATGGAAACTATGGATGAACCTTGATTTATGCTGTTATTGGAAGTAAAATAAAAGTAATTTTAAAAGTTAGTGACAACACAGAAACTACAATGAATAAAATAGATATCATAAATTTTAGGTACATACAAGTAGTCCTCGATTTACGACCACAATTGGGACTGGAACGTCTGTTGCTAAGCAATGCAGTCATTAAGTGAGTCGCACCTGATTTTACAATCTTTTTGCTATGGTCATTAAGCAAATCATGCAGTTGTTAAATGAATTTGGCATCCCCCATTGACTTTGCTTGTCAGAAGCCCCCTGGGAAGGTGACAAATGGCAATCACATGACACTGGGATGCTGCAACTGTCATAAATACATGCCGGCTACCAATTGCCCAAAATTTGATTACATGACCACAGGGACACTCCGATGGTTGTTAAGTGTGAGGAACAGTTGTAAGTTCACTTTTTACAGTGCCATCATAACTTTGAACGGTCATTAAACAAATGGTAATAAATCGAGGGCTATCTGTAGTTTTATAGCTGCTCTGACATTTTGTTTGTCTGTTTCTAAGCACAGTAGCCTCAAGCCACAATAAAACTGAATTTGAATTTTGTATCTTTTTTTTTTAAATCAAGTTTTATGGAGGAGTACAGAAATGGCTTTACAGAAAGCATCCATCAGCCATTAGGCAAATACCAGCTTAGCCCCAAAGGGAGGAGGGAGTGAGGAAAAAACTCAAGATTGCCCTGCCTTGATTCACTTGGTATAAGAGGAGAGAGACAGAATCTCTGTTATTCTTACAAGTTTCTGTTATTATACCCTGCAACAATAAAGTAGAATTATAGCTGTCCTTGTAGAGTCTGCTTCCTGACCTGGCCTACCTCAAAGAGCTGACAAGTCTCATTTTTGACTAGTTTATATAATACTTACTTAGTGCATTCTTCTAAAGACTGTACAAGCATTTGTTGAAAAGAACTAATTTCTTCTAGGTTTCCCATTAAATATGAAGTATCTGCAGAGTTTAATCTGTAACCAAGAAAATAAGAATATTAAAACAAAGTATTTCTAAAAAAAATAGCAATATCTTCCTGATTAGCCTTGGCTGCCAGGGAGTTGTCTCTTGTTTTGTTGCACACTTATCAGTCCTGCCCCTTGCACAACACAATACAACAGAGCAATTCCCACTGACCATATATTCTAAGACATTTTCTCCTCTCATTCAGGAAGTTGGCTGCTATCTTTCACCATAAAATAATCCATGTAAGCAGTACATACAGAACTGCAGGAGAAAGTGTGCAATACCTCAAAGGTTAGAAAGCAGGTGGTACCCATAGCATAGTTTAACTTGCATAGAGAACTAGTCAAGTCAGAAGCAGCCAAACCAACCCATTCTGTGAACAAAATAATTCAGTAACTGAGCCAATGCCACCCAAAGAACAGAAAGTGGGAAGATGGAGTAGTGATAGATAACCAACTCTTTCAAGAATGGCAGCATATTATATCTGTGTACCCTTCTGTCTGGCACTTTTCTAACAAACTGCTCTCTTTCACTAGCAAGCTATTAGGAGCACACAAGCTATTACTACTGAAAAAAATATAAATGCTACTAAAAAATGTTGTAAATAAAATCTTTTTTGAGTCAAACTTGACTTCCAAACACATCCATGAAATTTTCTTGGCAGCAATATAAAAATTATTTGCCATTACTTCTTCCAGGATATGTTTAGAATTTCCCAGGCTAGCCTACAGTTTTTGTGCTTCCTGGTGATCTCCAATGCAATTACTAACCACATCTACCATTGTTTGGCTCTGGATCTCCCACCTAGCTCTAACATTTTTGATGGCCAAACGCACTTACTTTTCACTAGTTTGTAAGGGTCGTAGATAGCTAGAAAGCATAGTCTGTAACTCCTTAGCGTATTCATTTTCTGTTTCCAGAATATTCTGAAGCACCTACAACATATAAAACTTTAAATCATAATGCTACAATTACAAAGAAAAAAAAAAAGAAGTGTTAGACATCAAGATTCTTTGAAAATGTTTTATTCTTCAGAAAAGGCTATAATGGGAAAACGTGCAAATTCTCAAGGGTATGCAGTGAATAGAAGCATTAGAAAAGAGATAAAAATTAGAGGAATGAACATAACTAAAAAGTAAAATAAGTGATTTGCAAGCAAAAGTCTCAGGTTCAGATAGGCCTGGGAAATCTGAAACCCTGGAGAACCCATTGACAGATGATGTACAGTAGATGGATCCATAGTTTGATTTTGTATAAAGAAACTTCCTCATAGAAAAAGCTTTGCATTTAGATGCATTTTAGTTACTTCAATCAATCAATCATATTTATGGCCAAAAGGGCCAAAAGATTTTAGTTCCTTAAGGCAATGACGGCTAAACTTTCCTAATTAGTGTGCCAAAAGGAAGTTTACTGGCTAAATTGTCCTATTTACATTTAGAAATACAGGTAGTCCTCAACTTACGACTATTCGTTTATCGACCTTTTGAAGTTACAACAGTGCTGAAAAAAAGCAACTTTCAATTGGTTCTCGCACTGACAATGATCGCAGCATCCCCCAGTCACATGATCAAAATTTGGGTGCTTGGCAACCAGCATATATTTACAAGAGTTGCAGCGTCCCGGGGTCACGTAGTCTCCATCTGCAATCTTCCCAGCTGGCTTCCAATAAGCAAACTCAATGGAGAACCAGTGATTCATTTAACGACCACAGTGATTCGTTTAATGACTACTGCAAAAGATGTCGTAAAATCGGGTACAGTCACATGATGCCTCACTTAATGACTGCACCACTTAACAATGAGTTTTCCAGTTCCCACTATGGTCATAAGTCAAGGACTACCTATAGTGCCATGTTCTGCAGCTTTTGCTCTGGCTTTGGTGTGATATTGGTATAGTCTATTTATTACAGGTAGTCCTCAACTTACAACCACAGTTGGGACCAGATCTTCCATCATTAAGCGATACAGTCGTTAAGTGAGTCATGCCTAATTTTACAAACTTTTTTGCTGCAGTCAATAAGCGAATCACATGGTCGTTAAGCAAATCCGGCTTCCCCCATTGACTTTGCTTGTCGGAAGCCACCTGGGAAGGTCACAAATGGTGATCACATGACCCCAGGACACTGCAACCGTTGTAAATACATGCCAGTTGCCAAGCACCTGAATTTTGATTATGTGACCACAGGGATGCTGTGAGGGTCATAAGTGCAAGGACTGGTTGTAAGTCACTTTTTTCAGTGCTGTCATAACTTCAAACGGTCATTAAATGAATGGTTGTAAGTCGAGGACTACCTGTATATTAAAGTAAGTTAAGAATTGGACTTGTGCCCTCCAGGGCACAATTTCAGCAATATTCAATCTGAGGCACCAGCAATACAAGCGGATGGTTTGAAGACTCCAAATTTATTGTCCTGCTCTATTTTACACTTTTATCAGCTCAGAATTCTATTACTGCATCTTAAGGACATAATTCGCAATTTAAAAATTAAAAATAAACAATCTAGTATCTAATATTTTGATAACATCAATCAAACGGGATTGGTCTCCCAGCAGACCTATAATCTTCAGATGTTATACAATGTGGCCAATTTATAGCCTGCTTGGTATATAAAACAGTTATTCATGCCTGTATGAAAACCTGATGAAACAAGGGACAGGCTGAACTATTTAAAACTGAGAATTTGTGGATTCTTTCATTAGCATTGCTGAGCTCAGTTTGGGGGCCTTGAATAGGCCTATTCAGTTGAAAAGGGGAGGAGGAAGGGAGACTATTTCTGAGTTCATTCTTTTGTTGGTAACTTGACTCCTGCCCCAAAGATTAAAATGTCTCCATTCTGCATGAAGCACTACGAATGACAGATGTTACAAAGAACCCATAAACTATGAAAATAGCCAGTTTCAAAGTGCAATACGAAAAAGATGTGAATACCACAAAAATCAGAAAGATTAGTCCATTTAAATTTTGGAAAGTAAAAGGCAACAGCATACAATCAGCAAATAAATTACTGGAAAGAAAGTTAGGTTAAACACCAGAAAAAATCAGACAATGGTTCCCAGTCCAAGAAGAAATTAGGCAAAAACTGAATTAAGTTATGGGAAGAAGAGTCTAAAACAAGGCTCCACCAAGCAACTCATTCAGTAAGATTTTCAAATACTACAAATATTACCAATAAAGGTATGCTACTGATACACACAGTGTTGTATGTTATGTTTGCACAGATCAAGTTGCTATTTAGAGACATTAATCATAAAAAGCATTGATTTAAATGTGTTTTCCATTCAACTAGATCCTTTTAAGGGTCAATAAATGAGTGTCTTTGGAATTTAAAATAAACCCAGTTACCCTCTCTAATCTGAAAAAAGCGTACACAAATAAAACAACTTAATACTGTAGATAAATTAACAAAGACAATTACATTTTAGTCAATGTAAACTGCATTCTCAAAAAAGGGCTCAATTATTTATATCACCTTTACCTTTTCCACGTTCATAAAGAACTGCTGAAAAAAGCCTGTATTAATTTTAGAGTTCGTACAAGCATATTTTCTTCAAAAAGTAAGACGTGTTTACTTTTTTCTCTCTATTTTAGATAGACCACTTATTTATCTCCAATGCAGAGAAAATTGTGAGCACTATGTGATTGCAGCAGTAAAACTGCAAATACATTAGTATGGTACATTTACATAACTGCACTTAATAATTTCTAATGTCCCCATCACATGCTTCTACTCTAATAATCACCTTTTTCCTCTTTCCTGTTTTCTGTACATTCTGACTGCTACAAGACCCCATAAGATTCCAAACCTTATTTTGAAAAGTCCATCACCAGTTCATGAAACTAGGTACCAAAATGTGGACTGCTTTCACAGACATGGTAACCTTTTACAATGTGAAATATAAATGAAAAGCACAGAGAATCAATTCAACCAGTGTGAGCGATCCAGTCAGAAGGCACAGAAAAAAATAAAGTACATCAAAAGTTCATTCACTCAAGGCCCGGCTACTTTCCCTAAAGCAAAAGCTCTCACCACAGCATTGCTTTAAAACTGAATTTCTTAAATGAGTCTTCCACTGTTAGGTATATGGAAACTGAGATTTATTTCACCAAAATATGAAATATAAAATGTATTCCTTAAAGATGAAATTAACTTTGTCACGCCACATATTTGGGAACTATTGCTGAAAACAATGCTGCATGATTATTCCCCCCTCTACGTATACTGCATTTATGTCTCCACCCATGAATCAGAGCAATCTTTTAAAAATTCTAGCTTAAACAGAATTGTATAGAATGATTTAAACCAAAGATCTATAAGTAATTTTTGGACTTGTGAGCACATTTCACATTTTGAAATAACCCAATGCAGAATTCAACTGAGAGCTTTATATCCAGATTATTTAACATTAACCTAGCTGATATTAGCATACCAGTTTCAAAAAAAGAAGCTAGAAAAATAATTATTGTATACCCAAAGTCATTAACCTTAGTTAAAGTCTTAATTCCTGGGGCACTGATCACTGCACCCACTGTTTTAGCTCTATAAGAGACATCAAAGAGGATGCCCAGATGAGTTTTAGCTTTCTGGAAGAGACCTGCTAAGCACCAGCAAGCAGGTCTCCTGAATGTAAAACACCCACTATGGATTTTGATGCACAATCTGCCATATGGCAAAAAGCATTAATTTGTTATTTTGTCAATCACACGGTCTCATTCTAAAAGGCTACGGTGAGATTTTGCTATACTCCGGCAGATGTTGAAGAAAATATCATTATTTTCTGCTATCAGAAATGTGGTGCAGGTACTATAACCTGATGTTTAATCATCACAAAAGAAGACACAGTGAATAAACTGTTAAATACAGAATATCTGTTTTTATCCCTCTATGCCTACCAATATCTTATTCATCTTTTTTTCCATTTTAAGATTATACAGTTAATGCTGGGTGATGAACTAAAAACCCTTTATCCTTGCAAAGCTTTCCAATTTTGGAATAGGTGGCAAAGATGGTGGATTTTGCTATGGTTTTGCCACATTCTAAAATAAGGCTGGAAATGCAAAAATAATCATAGATAATTCTTAGTGAATCATCTGGATCTTCAATTAGCAAAAAAAGATTATGCTAAGAAAATGGAAAACTGTGTACATGGGTTATCCTGATTATTAACCAGTGCATAGACCAGAACTATTAGTGAAAGGTTTAATTAGAATCAGTATAATATTCCATTGTATCAACAATCCCTGGTGCTGGTTCTCGGGGCATTTCTAAAATCTTCTGAGCTAGTAAGATAAATACAGATAGGATTGTAAAGGTAGGCTCATCCTATCAGAAAAATGGGCCAAGTCCACTAATTACATCAAAGGAGTTGGCATGGAGACAGCCTTTGGGAGCACAGGCCAAAAAAAAAAGTAAAAAAATAGTACTAAAACAAGTGAAGTAAATCAAAGCAAAATAGTTGATGCCAGTAGTATTGATACAGTAATGATGTGATAATGATAGCTTTGGGACTGATGGGGAATACTCAAGAGGCAGAACAGCTAGTATAGCTCTGAGTATGTCCTATGATGCCAATTTAGCAGTACTGGGCTTTTAAGATAGTTTAAATGCAATATTATATATGTATCAACAACTACCCATAGTTTTTTCATAGTGATATCTATTTGTTGTATCCCACTCTCAGCACTGTTCAAAACGGACTCAATACTGTAAGTATTAGAACTGACAAAGACAAAATGCAGTGAGGGAGGCAATCAATCAAGATTGTATGTTAATCTTGGCCTCTGCAACTAATAGGAAAATGTTGGGGAACTTTGTAATACAGGTAGTAGTTGGTGTGGACATCTGTAAATTCAACCTTGACTGCAACTTTAATGCCCCATTCACAGAGGAATGAAGGAAGTCTTGAAGGTAATAGCAGTGAGTCAGTTCAGTGAGCATTTGGCCAAAAAAGCAGGAATCAGAGATACAGGCTGTATTCATCTATTTGAGTGACTTATTCCCAGAGCAAGAACATTTCCAGAGTGAACCCTCCAGGGCCATTAACCGAAGATGAAAGAGAACTCAGAGATATAAGTGACAAGCAAAAAAATGGAAAATGGAAAATACAATGAGAAAGCAGAAAAAAACCAACTAAAAAAGTCATGAGGCATACGACTAATTTCAAATACAGTTCACACAAGGCAGCAAATTCAGCACTTAGATGAGAACTTATCTGGAATATAAAGTGCTCTCTGAAATGGAGCAGGTCTACTTCCAGCCACTCCCCTATAAAATACTCCTGACCAGGCTCAAACCCATTGCCACATGAGATCACAGGGAAATATGGGCTTTCTAACAGTGGACATAAGTATGCAAGATATTATTTAGCATCAGCCTTCAGTAATTAGGTTATAATATTTAAGGCAGGTCTGTAAACACATGACCTGTAGAATACACAAACAGGAGATGGAAATGGGTGCCAAGGCTTCTGGATTGCAGAAACAAATGACAGATGACTTGGCTGACCACAAAACAGGCACTTCTTGTTTTAAATTGTTAAATTGTTCAGCTCATGCAAATCAAGATCCTTTGGAAAAATACATCAACTTCAATGATACCAGTCTAAACAAAAATCAACTGTTAAATAAAATTCATATAAAATCACTCACCACATTGTAATAGCTTTTGCTAATAGCAGATGTATCGAACCCTTTCGGAGGACTTTTCAGGCTTCCTGATTTGGGAGAGACAGGTTTTTCTGAAACAAAGATTATTTCAGCAATAAAATATAATTTAATATTTTAAAACCTGATACTCCAACAATGCCCTTAAGACAATATCCAGACTGATCTGCTTGAAGTTATATACTGAACAAATGAGTGGCTTGGGGCCCAGTTCACACAATTATGTCTGGACTTAATAAACTATGTCAAAACCTTTTTGCCTATGCACTCCACATTTTACTCTTCCTTCTGTTTTCCAGTAAGATCCAATAAAAACCAGGAAAATTTTAGTTAACCTGTTTCTCATTATATTCCATCCAGAAAAAAATGGTTTCTAAGTTGAGATATAATAGGAAGCTATCGTTAATTGAAGGAGCAAAGAGGAAAGATAAATGAAGAAGTCATGTAGACAGGCATAAAACTTTTTCCTAGTATAACTTATTTAGTCAAAACAGGTTGTCTGAAAAAGTTAATCAGGTCAATTCAGCAAAACACAATTTCAAAAATCAAAACTTTACATGATAAAGCACACAAGTATTTGGTGATTAAAAACAACATACTTGTCATATTGCACAAGTATCCCTATATAAAAGTCACTACAAAAAAAAATCTACTTTAAGGATGAAAGTACCTGTTATCAATTAAACTACCTATGTTTTTTTTTAACATTTGCAAGAACCAATGCTCATACAAAATGCATTATGCCTCCTCCCCCAGATTTAAAAAAACCCTATTGCAATTGTAACTCTTCCAGTTTTTAGGTCACATTATATAGTTATTCAGGATATATAATATTGCTTTTTTTATCAAAGAAATGTCCCTCATTCCACACAGAATACATCACTATCTTCAGAACTAGGAAGCTGATTGTGAAAAATTATAATCCATCTGGAAAAGTTAGAGGGGCAGAAGGATCAATGGCTAATTTCCATTTAAAAGAAAGGTCCAGCTTTTAAAATTGTTTGGAAGAATCAGTTCTTAATTCCAATATGTGGGGTTCTAGTGGACTTGCTGTATGTCTAGGGTCTTTGTGATAATGCCTGTAAAACGTCTTTCCCATTTTCATTAAAAATATCCTTTACCTAGCAACAAGCAAACATTTCAGAGCTAATTGCTGGTGTCCAAAATGTCCCAGAGCTCAGGAATGAACTGGAAACCAGCAGCTAATGTTGAAGCATACCCTTTCTGTTATAATGAAAGAAAAAAAAGGTCTCCACTGTTGCAGGTAGACCTACAGTACATGTATTAGATGACTGTGGAGAATGGGACCAGCACAATCACTCCTTGAAAGATAGTAATAAGAGGGAAAAAGAGGAGTGTCTTCAGAGGACTGGCCAGTCCAGTGACTCTGTGTGATAAACAAAATGTAAAATTCACAACAATGTAGATAAACAATACAATAAAAAAGAAACAGCAGCCAAGTGTAAAACCTCAAATAATAAAATAACCAACCAGGCCTCACCGAGTACCTGACCACCTATAGGAACTTCTCTTGGGGGGGTGCTTTAGAATGGCTTTTATATGCTCGCCTATAGGAAACTGATTGCAGACCCCACTTCTATCTTGTAAACAGGCTGTTAGATAAGTTACTTGACTTTCTTGTCTCCCTAGTTTACCTATTTTTACTGGCCTTGCCTACCACCACAATACTGTAAATGCTCCTACACAGCAGTCATTTTGTGCTGGTGCAACAACACTTTCTCAAAATTCCTAATGTGCCCTCTGGTCAGGTATACTATTTATATAGGTTATATATGCAATGCAGTACATATGTGTGTTACATTGCAATGCAATGTCAAACAAGTACCATGCTCTGCCATGTGTACCGAGGCAGATAAATCCAAATACATTATTAATATAAATTAATATTACTCCACCATACTGGTATTTCGAAGGGCCCTAAAGTCCTGACTCTTCTCCCAGGCCTTTGGTGAGGACAACTGATGCTTCTTTCTTCCTTTCTTTACTCCCCTCCGGGTTTGTTTTCTTTGCCATTGTTGTTCTTTTGTCTTGTGCTGTTTTTTTTGTATTGTTCTTTGTTTTTAAATGCTTTTAACAACTATAAATTACCCAGAGTCCCTGGGAGTTGGGTGATATAAATATAAATTTAATATATTATAGTTGGTCACACAGTCAGCCAGATGTTTAGGCTGAATTTGGCATTTTTATCTGCCTATCGAGTCTTTCCCAGGGACCTGGGATAGGCAGATGTTGTTTGATGGTGTTAAAGGTATCGTCGCAGGATATAAGCTGTTCCAAGTAAAGCTGTCTTTTGCAATTGACTGAAGGTGATTTTGTCAATGCCGATGGTCTTCAAGTGATGCTCCAGATGTTTTGGGATTGCACCCAATGTGCCTATGACTATTGGTACTAC